CCTGTGAGCAGGTGAAGAGGCCCAGCCACAGCTCTCGTCACTCCAGTCACAGCTCCAGGGACGCTGGGRATAGCATGGGCCCTCCCAGCAATGTGACAATGGCACAGCCATCCAAACCCCTGAGGCGCTGCGGGGTCTTTTCTTGCTCCCCCAAGCACCCATCACCCTCCTGACCTGGCTAATTTCCAACCCGTCCCAGCTCCTGCCTCCAAAATGAGGATGGGGACCCAGCATATGAGCAATACATGACACATCCCTGCCTGCCAGCTGCTTCCTGCTCCTCACAAGGGACGTGTTATGAGARGAGATAGGCCAGAGCAGACGCTGGAAGCACAGACCAGCTGGGCACGATGCTGGCACGCACCCAGGAATRTCTGGCTGGCAGCCCTGGAGCCAGGTCACAGCCCTGTGCCATCACCTCAGCCCCAGAGCCAASCCCAGGAGCTTTCCTGGGGCAAAACAGCTCTGAGCTAAAAGAAATTTGGGGAAGGGCTGATAGGAAACATGGGGTAGAGGGTTCTGGGGAAGRAGAGGGTGTTCAGGGGAGGCTGCTCTGCTCTCAGTGGGAATGTAGAGCTGTGGAGAAGGTGGGAGGCCGAAGGGGAGATAAGGGGGATAAAGGCAGGGACAGGCAGAGGTGAGAGGACACCACACACCTTCACTGGGAGAACCTGAACTGCAGCGTTCATGTAAGAACTGTAAGAACCACCATCACACACAAAGGTCCCTCCCTGGCAGCTCAGCCAAGCCACCACGGCACCTGCGAGCCCAAGGGAGGTGCCACCCAGCTGGGGCACCCACAGCCACTCACCTGGGGTCKCCAGTTGCCCTGCACGGCCTGGGGCTGGCTCGGTGCTCTGGCAGGGCTGTGCTCCCAGCTCYGCTCCCTGCAGGGACCATCCCTCCGCTGGCAGCTGCGGGACCATGGCTGCTGCGCCCAGGGACCCAATACATATTTGATGACTGCTATTATTGTCATCTCCACTCATGAGCAGAGGGATGGGAGCTGATCTTCCCTCGCAGAGCAGGGGAGCAGCAGGGGAGGAGCAGCTGGAGGGGTGAGGGTCCCGTCCTCCCGTGGTCCCTGTCCCTTGCGCCCCTGGTGACACAGCTGGACCTTCCCACATCCATCCCAGMATGCAGATGAGCCTCAGTGCAGCCCAGATGTGAAGAGCTGGAAAATGGCCCTGACCTATTCCTGCCCCCAAACCAATGGAAATCTAGAAATCACGAGACGTGGGAGACAAATGCACCCCTCACACCCCTCTCCACAGGGATCTAGACACCCATCATCCCAACCACACCAGAGCATCCTCTCCTCTCTGGATGGGCAGGACATTCCACCTCCCYTCACATCACTTCATGCTCCCCATTCCAGCACTGGGTTCCTGCATCCCACCAAACTGGGAACCATTTTCCTGCATGGATGGATACTCTGGCTCTSCCAAATGCAGGGGGAGAGAGAGCATCCTGCAGCAGCACCCGAGCCGGGAAAGGCTCCGCTTCCTCCTCCTCCAGGCAGGCACGTCCCAGCCGTAATGCGGTGGGTATTTATTATGCTGATTCCTCAGAACGCGAGGGCTTAACTGCAAATTACAATCAATAGCCCCAAWCCCCTCGGGGCAGGTTCATCATTTAGCAGGCGCAACCAGAGGAATTCAAAACTATTTGCCAGCCATAAATCCTGCTCTCCGCAGCCTCCCCAGCCGGCTCCTCACCCCTCTCGATGGYTGGTTGGGGTGACCCTTGTCAGCATTTGAGACAATTAAGCTGTCACTGCGGATCGTGACTCTTATATACGGCCCTGAGCAGCACTTTGAGATGTCACCGTGATGGGGTGAGGGGAGCTGGCTGAGGCGAGCCCGCCGCAGCAACCGTCTCTCATTGAATTAAATGAATGTATTTGGAGGCAGAGTCGCTTTTTATTACTTTGCAAACGATTCCTGACTAAATTAAATTATAAGAGGAGTGTTCAGCCAATCAAACCTGCTTGATTGCCTGGAACAGGCATTTTAAACAGAGCACGCCTCGAGCCGTCGCTGGTTCCAGCGCTAGATGGAGGGCGGCTGATGGGCTGTGGCGAAGCTGATCCACCCTGCTCCACATCTGGAGCGCTGAACGGCTGTGCTCACACMGGGGAACGGCCCCAGGGATGGGGCAGGATGAGCACAGCCCTCTGGGAACAGCAGGAACGAGCCTGGAGGCAGGGGGAAGAGCAGGGAATGGCAGGAGCTGWGGCACAGAGCASCAGCAGGGCTGCTGAGGGYGGCTTTCYCWGASTGYCATCCAGCCAAGGCTCTCCTCCCTCCTACAGCAGAGAAATGCAGGGTGCTGCTCTTCTGGGGGCAAATCCACAGCTCCTGCCTGCACCCGTCCTCCTGGAAAGCCCTTCTTCCTACACACAGCAAAAAGACTGACCACATTTCCTTTCAGCAGCTCCCCAGGAAGGGGTTCTGGCCAATGCATAAAATCCCAGAATGGTTTGGGTTGGGAGCTCAGAGCTCATCTCATTCCAACCCCTGCCACGGGCAGGGACCTTCCACCATCCCAGTTTGCTCTAAGCCCCACTGTCCAACCTGGCCTTGRACAYTCCCAGGGATGGGGCAGTCACAGCTTCTYTGRGCAMYCTGTGCCAGGGCCTCACCACCCTGAGGGAAGAATTTCCTCCTAATCTGTATTCTCCACTTTCAGTTCAAAACCATCCCCAATTTTCCTGTCACTGCGTGCCCTTGTGAAAAGTCCCTCTCCAGCTGCTTTACAAGCCCCTTTAAATACTGAAATGCTGCAAATTCCAAAAGCCTCAGGAGGCTCCAGTGCAACCCTTATGCTGCAGTGGATTTACCCCTCTGAAAACCCTTCAGATCTTGTCTTTTCAGGACTTGGAGAACTCTTGGGGGCAAACTCACTCCAGCACGAACTGCAACATTTGCTGCTTTTAACATTGGTGCAGAACAATTAGGGAAGCGTTTGGAAGAAAGAATACTGCAATTAAATGGTGCATTTTCAAATGCAGCTATAAACTTGCTGCCAAAAAAGCTACTCTCGCTGAAAAAAAGAAGTTGGCTTCCTCTAGGCTTAACTATTTTTACTTCATCCCCATTCCAATTTTAATCATGTATCTGTTCATTTCGAACAGGATAAAATGCCCATTTTCCTAAATGAAGCTAATTAGGCAGAGGGGGTTTTAACAATGATATGCCAGAATCAATTTGAAGCCCACACTGAGGCAGCACCAGCTATTCAAGGACAGGTTTTAGCAGGTAACTCTGTGCATTTCAGCCTCACACYGAGCATCCCCTGGCTCCCAGTGCTACCTGGGCTGAGGATGAAGCCCTGTCAGCAGTTCTGGTTGCCAAGGCTTGGCAGGCTGTGGGATTTGGATGGGAAAGTCAGAAACTCAGGGACAAAACGAAACCAAAATWAGTCTTTGTGAGGGCAACCCTGCCTGTGTGACCTTCACGGGAAATGGGAAGGGTGAGTTAATGTGCTGGAACAGCATCCCACCCAGCTCACACCGGGAAGGGCCAGCTTTCCACTGCCAGATCAGGGATGATGGGGATCATTTGGAGCTTGTTCTCCACTCGTTGCCTCYGTGGTCAGGATTTCCTCTGCACTCCAGCTGTGAACAAAGCCAGGAACAGGGAAGGGAACTTACAGAGTTCAAAGTCACCTTCTCAGCTTGGGCACTGTGTATAGTATCTATTTATCTCCCATCACCAGTCTCTTGCAGCCACTTCACCTTCTATTCCCCTCTAAATCTCCTGCGACAGCAGCCAGGATTCCTCAGGTGACCCGAGGTAAAAAAGAGAGTTAGAAAACACACGAAGTCATCCACCATTCACATGAAATAACAACTTTTTATTTTCTCAAATAAAATAATCCTTCCATTTCTGCTCGATCAGGTTGTGAGGGGTGGGGAGGAGCAGGGAGGAGGGGAGGAGCCCTGCTCTGACAGGTGTCATGCCTGTCCTCACAGCTCTGCATCCACGTCAGACCGAACCCTTTTCCAATGAAAGAAAATAAAAGCTATTGGCAGCTCTTGATCCCAGAAGGCAAGTGCTGTCCTCTATCAGGCACTCTGAATTGTTTAGCAACAGTWTTCAATGGAAAAGCATGATTACAAAAATCCCAGATTTCTGATCAACRATATCCAGACAAGCAATGTTTAACAGGGCTGGGGTAAAACTCATGGCATGGGGTGGTACCTTGAGCTCCAAAGAGCTGTGACTGGAATTTAGGGGAATGGTTGAGGAGAACTCCAGCTTGGGGACTAAAGGGCAGGATACCTCCTGCCCAACAAAGAAGGAAGCTCCCAAGGCAGTTCCTTGATGAGTGATATGCCAGAAGTGAATCCTCAGCCTACACTAGAGCTCTTGGATTGTACCCCACTGCAGTCTGGCCAGCTTAATTAACCATTACCAGTTCAATTTCTCATCTCTCAGTACCAGTTGGACCAGGATGTCCTACAATCCCCACTGCAAGGCTATGGAGAGGCACAGAGTGCCAGGTTTTAATGTTAATTGAGGTGGGACCATTAAAAATTGGGGCTGTCTCATCTGCAGAGAGGTGTCCAGCGAGCAGGGGAGGGAGAACTCTGATTCTGTTTCAGATCAATGCTTAAATTAAGTGAATGGATAAGCAGCAAAGCATCAGCAATGCTCTCTCAGCCCAAAGCACAGGGCCAGATCTGTTCACACAAACCCAAACTCTTCCCACTGGCAATGCACAGATTCATGTGCAAACCCTACAAGGGGCAGGACACTGCTGGCTGTGGAACTGTGCCCTAGAACTGGCTCCTTTTAAATTTATAAGAAACATCACTTGGCCTGAAATACTGCAAGATGGAAACCCATCTTTCCCATCCCCACCTGCAAGCACAGTAGCCTCATTTTCTGCCTTTCTCCAAGAGAAGGAGCTTCACAGAAGCTTTCTTGGCTCTGGAACACTTCTCCCTTTTTCTTTTTCTTTTTTTTTTTTTT